GCCAAGACCGAAGCCCTCAGCCCTCAGCCGAAGCAGGGTTTGGCGGGTATTATAGGGGCCGTTAATAATTAGAATAGGATGTTGGGGCCCATTGTATTATAAGTATAATGAGGAACCCCCAAAAATTGTTTTGGAAAAGTTTAAGGCTCCTATAGTATTAATTACATCCAGCACTCTTCAGCCTTGACTACTCCGGGTTCAAGTTTGGACGTTCAAGAAGACACAGGGCGGAATCATCAACCGTCGTGGCCCACAAAACGAAAGCAATGGTGGCAAGATCTGTTTCAACACCATTCATGATGATGAATGATGACCATCCCATCCCCGTCACCATTATCGTTCTCTTGATCATCAACATTATGAAAACCGTTTTTATGTTGTTTATCAACAGAGCTTTTGTCATCTGATCACAACAACAAATAACATTAACACCATGATCATTGCCATTATCAGCATGCCTATCATCATCTTGTTGTTCATCGTTAGTATCATCATCATCATGTTCGTGATCATCATTGTCATCGTCACATCACCATCATTTTCTTCTTCATCGTCATCATCATCATCGTCATCATCACGCCCATCAGCATCATCAACACCAACAACAACAGCATCGTCGTCGTCAACACCATCCTCGCCGTCAATGTTATCATCGGTATCATCTTCACTGTAATCTACATGTTCCTGATCAATCAAAGCCGTTGAAGAGCCAAAATCTTGTTGCCCCCCAAACCTAAACCACCCTAAAGCCTAACACAATAAGCCAGAACTCTGAACCCTACAGGAAAGCCTTAAGCTCCAAATCACAAAGACTGTAATAACAAGCCTCACAGGCTGAGTTCTGCGCCCAGCCATTGGCCCCGGTGCGAGCGGCGGCGTCCTGCACAGCCAGGCCGAACCTGGGAACTGGCCATTGGCATTTCGGGGTTCAGGGTTTAGGCTTCAGGGTTTAGGCTTTAGGGTTTAGGGTTTAGGGTTTAGGGTTTATGGTTTCGGGGTTCGCAGCCAAGGTTGAGAGTTTAGGGCTTGAGTTTGCTGTTTTCTCTTTGAAGGCCTTTTCCGCCGGCATAGTTGGAAGATGTTGGAAGCCTCTTTGACTGGCTAGGCATAGGCTAGGGTGGTAGGGTTTAGGATGAGTGGCGGGGGCATCGTTGCTAGGGTTTAGGATTCAGGGTTTAAGGCTGAATTACCTTGCTAGGCCTTTGGGCTGAGTGCGAGTTTAGAGCTTAAGCTACAATTCGTTCAAGGTGAGTCTTCGGCTTCTAGGGCTTCGGGCGACTTGAACATTAGAGATTTCCGAAAGCAACCGCACATCAAACAATTAGGGTTTGCTTTCGGATCCAAGTCCCATAGCCAATATCAGCTGCGCACACCCTATTCTAACTATTAGGGTCCCCACGTTACCTCGCTTTTGCGAGGTTGAATATGTTGTGCTAGGCTTAACCCCTCCACAACCAGACGGAAAACACTCCATCGGAAACCAGAGACAAGACTGGACAAATATCGACCGTCTCTTGAGGAATTGAGGCTCGTGCCGTCTGCGCTTGGCCGTTGGCAAGGCCTGGACAGTGGCCCAGAAAGCAACAACGTGCCATGATGCGACAGGCTTAAGTTTCTCCCACGAGGTGTCTCTAAATCCTAAACCCCAAAGCCCAAACCCGAACTTGGCTCTGTGAGCTATAATGCCCTTGGGCCCTGCGTGCAGACTTCAATTTCATGTTGAGCAAGCATGTCTTGAAGGCATAGGCTTACACGGGATGCTGAGAATCCACGGCTCGATGCAGATTCACGCTTTTTTTGGCCCAGGGTCTATTTAGCCGCAGGCCGAAAGTAGTCATGCCGTATGAGTTGACGCCTTCGACCCCAAGCCCCAAAACTACCACACCGCCCTCATGTCCTCTCAGAAGGGAAGATTGAAATCTGGTGGTTCGGAGATCCGCTCAAAGAGGAGCAGAACCCCTTAAGCCTAACACGTATATATATATATATATATGTATGTATGTATGTATATATATATATATATATCCAAAGAAGAATCACATCTCCTACACCATCGACCCTAAACCAGGGAAGTTTGAACCCGAAAACGCCAAAATCTCACCCCAAGCTCGGGTGGACCTCGGGGGGGCGGGGTCGGCCGCTGCGCTTCGTCTGCGCCTCGCCCACAACCGTTTCCACCTGAAACTCGCCGCGGATGATGGAAGGTTGCCAGACAGCCCAAACTCCTCTCTAGTCTCTCACGAAAGGATATTTACAACCCCAAACGGTATTCCTGAACCCCTGCAAGCTTCAAACAGAGGGCTCAATTCTTCTAGGTGTATCGGGGTTCGGCAACTCAAGACCCTGCATCTTAGATATCGAAAACGGCCTTTAGGACTTAGGGTTTAACAGAACTCAAGCTCAAACCAAAACCGTGGAACTTATGCTGCCAGGTCATCGGCTTACTTACTAGTACGTATCATTTCGACATCCTCAACAGCCGGTAAAGACAACATTCCATCAGTCAGCAATTTTCCGATGGGGGTGTAAGACGTGATGCAGGTATCACAGCGTCCTAGTCAAGGGGCCTCAGGAATTAGTAGTAGTTGGAACACTTTTTGGAATATGTTGCAGTTTGATTGTTATAGAGTACACTTGAACTGGAACGGTACGGGGATCTTATTCCTAGTTATCGAAACTCTCGTACTCTCTCCGGCTTAAGAACGACATGCCCAAGCCGATGCATTCCCGGAAGCCGCCCAGCAAACACCCGCAAACGGTTCTGCCTTGTCCTCAACATCTTTGATGCTCCTTTAGTGGAACAAAGGCTGGCACCAAGAGTGAACAGAACATCGGAAGTGAGACTTCGGGAATCAGGGCACTCATAAATCCGGGCATACATGACTTGGGTTTTGGGAACTGCATTCTACCATTAGCTATATTAAGGAACCCTCAGGGGTAATATGTACCAATGATCGTGAACATTCAGGTTTCTATATTAAGGTCCTACTACAGTACTTAGTTGCTGAGTTCGTAAGCCCCCCCCCAAAAAAAGTATACACTTTTACTTTTACTTTTATAGTGAGCAAGATTATCACCGAAAGTGTAAAGTGTATCCACTCAGCTACTAAGACTAGGGTCTCCTGTGTCCTGTTTTGGAAACCCAGCGCCTCCCAAACCTGTCAATTAATTTTGCTGTTCAATCCATGGCCCATGTAATGTCGAGGGATCCTTGAGGTAAATTAAGCTAGTTATAAGGATTGAGTGGTTTCAGAGACCCTGGCCAAGTCATCAGTCCCGGTTTGATCTCGGACTTGCAGGGTGCTGTGGGTTTAGGAGCTGGGAAGGCCGAGAGGACCGTGGACCTGCAGGGCTCGTCTGAAGTTCTCATGGCAGACAGGGACAGGGAGCCAAGCTTAGTTTTGTACTTCAGATTGTTGAAGGTCCAGGGTTCCGGAGTGAAGGGCTTAACAGGTCTTGGGCTTCGGGCTTTGGGTTACTTGGGGTTGAGGGCTTATACTGGGTTGTGCCTTGAACCCTTTGAAAATTATATATGAATAGGTGGCCTACCCACCACACTAAACCCAAAACTCGTAACCTACACCCCCAAAACCTGTACCAGAAGCCTAACACAGAACCTTGGGAGGAAAGGTCCTTTGGACGGTACTCAGGCTGTCCGCAAAGTCGGTCGGAGCGATGTTGAGTTCTGACGCCTGCGGCTTAGGGTTGAATGGTTCAGGGCTTTGGGATGTGGGAGCTTAGGGTTGAGGATGATGGGCTTGGGGTTTGGGGCCTTGAGCTTAGAGCCCAGGCTCTGGGGGGTTCAGATTTTAGGGTTTCTGATTACGCCGCATTCCTCGGCCCTTATCTGAAAAAACCTGTAACCCCAAAGCCCCGGAGATCTGCACGACAAAGTTTTTCTGCCCCAGATCCGATCGACAGTGCCTGGGCGTTTCTCTGCGTGTGTGTGCATGAAACAGCACATGCTGACAGTATGTCTGTATATGTATTTACATACATACATACATACATACATACATGTGTATATATATATATATATATATATATATATATATATATATATATATATATATATATATATCACACAAGTTACAGAAGCTAAGCTTGTCGTAAGTACTGTACACACATGTACAAATTCGCGTGTTTGTAAACATAGACAGAGATGTCGACGTAAAGGAAACAGACGTAGATATAGGTAATAGATAGATATATATATATATATATATATATAGATGTAGGCATAAGTACATATGGACACAGATGGCAGTATGTGTAGCTTCAGTTTACTTTCTGACGGGGTTCAAGGTGCAGTGTTTTTCGGAGGTAGCACTGCAAAGGCCAGCAACAGCTAGGCCTTTCATGTTCGCAGCGCAGAATCCATTCTTTAAACATGTGTACGTTGCAGCAGTCTAGGGCGCATGGTTGTGTCGACAGCTGCAGCCCCACATCAAAATCCGAAACTCCACAAATCGCTTCTCCAAAACAACCACTGGGCCGTCCGCCCTCAGCTTTCAGAGCAAACATGCCGGTCATCAAAGTGCAAACGCTCATGCTGAAGTCCCTGAGCTCCTTAACCGTAAACGACTTAGGCCCATACATTCTATATACTAGCTTGCTGCAACATCCCCTCCCCCTCCTTTTCCCCAAAAGGAGCAAAGGAACGCACAACAGTCCACGATATACCCAGATACTATCACCAAACCTTTAACCCCGAAAGCCGAAACCCCTGCAAAACCCTGACACTATATATCATTCTCTCCCAAACTGAGCAAAGCACCATTAGTCAAAACATGACAGAACAGTGATCAAGATACCCCTAAAGCCTAAACCCCTTACCCGATATGCCAAGATATCCCTAAACCCCAAAACCCCTATCCCGGTACATATGATCCCCTAACTCTGAATAGCCTTAAGCCCAAATCCCTAAACCCTAACCCCTAAACCCCTAACCCGATAGATCCAAGCGTTCATGACTTCAAAGAGCAGCGCAGCACGAGAGCCTGAGCCATGAACTGGCTCAGGGACTCAGCTTGGGTGCTCACCGCCTCGTCGTGCGCCGGTAGGAAGAGGGTTTAGGGCTTCGGGTTTAGGGTTAGGATTTAGGGGTTATGGTCTAGGAACTACTATAATACTGTAGGGGCCTGAACAGTAAGAAAAGGGTCTAGAGCTTAGGGCAACTGATTATTGGGGCCTTCACAATTAGAATAGGGTTTAGGGTTAGCTACGGCTACTATGGCGGCATAATTAGAATACCTGAATAATTAGAATAGGGTTCCTGCAAAGGGTTCTAAACTGGTTACTGTAAGGATTCTATGATATAGGGGCCCTAGTAGGTGGAATAGGGTTTTGGGGTATACTAGTTGCTGGAGTGCAATGCTGACCTCAGTCTTCTAGTTTACCTTGGGGGGGGGCTGGATAGTTTGGAGTATCTTGGGCTTTGGGAACTGTGGAGTTGGAGCATCTTTGCTTCATGGACGGTGCGGCACACTGCCGGTAAGTAGACAACAACTTGACAAACATGTCCCACAGTCCCTAGACCTAAAATCCTTTTTTCCTTGAAGACCCATCCCACAAGTGGGCTAAACCCTAACTAAGCATCATAGTATCGGATGCCTCTTGAAGAGCGTCGAGAGACTCGCCCTCCACGCCGCCGAACACACCGGAAGGATCCGACCTCATCGGGGCAAGTCGAAGCCTTTGCGCTCTCTGGTTTTGAAAGGTTGGGTTGTGGGCTCGAGGCTTAGGGTTCAAGGTTCAGGTATCGAAGTGTACGGTTCAGGGCCCAGGGGTGGATCAGGATTCCATCAGAACCTAAACAGCAACTGTGCAGAAGCGGTCAAAGGCTTTTACACCACTGCCTTCCCTTGAACCTGAGGCTCTGAATCCTGGTAACTTGCTGTAACCCTACGGATTTCCCGAACCCCAAACTCAAAACCGCATACCCTCCAACCTGACTCTCCAACCGCCGCTCCTCAACCCGAATGGCGATATAAGGGCCTGAATCATGAGAACTACTGTTGATGATATAAATCCTGCATTACCCATAGTAAGGAATATGCCATAACTCCCACAGTTTTGGGTCCTTAAGGTAATGCAGGATTTATATCATCAACAGTAGTGTTTTGGCACTTTCTTCACTATTCTTCCGAGCTCTGCATTAGACGCGGTCTTCTGCAGGTGTGCGGCCGGTTCTGCACGGCATCGGCCACGAGCAAATCTTCCCTGCAGTGCGACAGCCTACAACCACAACCAATTTCACAAGCCCTCCCCCCTCCCCCTACCCCCCGCCCCCCCAGGCCCTATATAGTCCTAAACCCCAATCCTTAAACCCTCAACCCCTGAAACCGGGAGCCTTTGCAGCCAGTCTCGGGTTTTCAAATATTTTTTGACTGTACGACTCTCAGAAAACCAAAGGAACACTGCAGACCGCTGTATTAACTCGTTGAAACCGCATCAAAACACCGTATCAGCTGCAATGAGAACCAACTGAGTGAAGTCCTTTCCAAAGTTGATGTGATGGGACCCAGTGGGTGGGTATCTTCTGTTGCAAAACACGGCAGCTACATCGTTGTTGCTTAGCCAAGCTTGTTGTAAACGCCAAACCCTAGACTCCCCGAAACTCCCAACCCAGAAACCCACAAAGCAACAACAAAAAACGAAAACCCAAACCCCTGAACCCTAAACCCCAAACCCCGAAACCCCAAACCCTAAACCGTAGACCCCTAAACCCTAAAGCCCCAAACCCTAAACCATCAACCCAAGAAGGCACCCAAAATCAATGAGAGTTCGGGCCCGGCCCTTGAAATGCGAACTTCAAGGTGTCCACAAAGAACTCGGAGCCGTCTTCAAAGAGATCCTCGTGGGCTCCGTAGAAGGGGCTTAGGAGGCTTGTTAAGGTTTAAAGATTCGGGATTAGGGTGTAACGTTTCAAGGTTTAAGTACTACTGTAGGGTGTTCGGGAGGTGGGGTTTCGTGTCTCTTATTGGTGGTTCCTGTGCTTGCCTTTTTCTGAGTGGCCATCCGCCGTTTCCAGGTTCAGGGTTGTGTGAGGTGGAACGCTGCCGCAAGGGTGGCCCCCATCTATCTAAACATAGGTTCCAAGCGCCCAAATAGTACGGCTTTATTTCCCCAAATCCATACTCTGAATAGTTTTTGGGGTACTTGGACCGTTAGGGATAGAATGGGTTAGTGGCTACGGGCACTGCAGCATCAGTACTTAACCTGCAACAAAGGTGACTGGACGGCGAGGGTGATGCAGAGCCGAGGATTTCGATGCCAATTTTGGGTCGGATCTGGGGAGTTTTCGGGTCCAGGGTTCATAGGGCTTATAGGGCTAGGATACCCAGTAACCTAAGAACAAAAAGGCCTCTCTTTTTGGTATTGGGTAACTTTATAAGGGACCTAGGACTACAAAAAGGGAATAAGGGTACTACTGGGCATCCTAGAGGGTTTCGTTTCGGGCTCCAGCCTAGAAGTTGAAGGCTCAGGGAAGTAGGAGAGGCGGTGGGTCAGAGGCTTGACGTGGTCATCCTTCTGGGCTTGGGATTCCATTATGTTGCCGGGATTCGAGCATAAGGGCAATTAGCAAGTAGAATAGGGTTGTTGGGCCTTTTACGTTGAGAAGAACAATGAATGTTAAGGACTGGTGTTCCGCCTCATTCAGCAACCTAATGTCCTACGGAACAGTTGAAAAGACAGTACATCTGCGCTCAGAGTACCCTGAAAGTAAGGCCATGATGATTTGTGTCAATGTCGGGCTCAGTGTCTTGGCGAGTCAGCTGTAAGGTAGTGTATCAAGCACGCCAAAACGAGCTGTCCTCAGGGTAGCACCACAGCTACAACAAACTTATGCAGTCCCTTCTGCACTCCGGCATGATTCCTAATAGCCCGAATCTCCTCAGCGTCGCTCTTGAAATACGGGCTCTAAGCTCTTATTCGTAGCCCACCTCAAATGCCGCCTTAAACCCACTGCTATGGTTCTCTCACGGAGCTGTGGTTATCAGTGAGTTGCAAAATCTGCTAGCCTTCGTTGGCATTGAAGAAACCAACATTGGCCCTCTGCCGTAGCGTTGCTGATGGGCACAACATTAACAGCATCGAATTTGAGAACCCTCTAAGCGTCCAAGTTGGTCCAAGTCCCGAAAACCTGCCTTGTCCGTGATTACAGTTACTTCAATCCTGAACCCACCTACCTAGTTGCTAGATACTGAAGACCCTTATAGCAACGAAAAGTGCGCTGAACAAACATAATCCTCAAATTCCTTCTCAGGACGAGTGTCCGCCGCAGTCTTCGCTAGACTCTCCCATGGTGCCTGCAAGCACTCAACCAAATCCAAAGCCGATGCAAGCCTTAAACAATCCACGAACAGGCCTGTTGGAGAAATCATCAACCCGGGACATGCCCAAATCAAAGCAATCAACCGCCCTGCCTCAGCGATAAACACAAAATCGTACGTGCTGGAGGCTCCGGGTAGAATGATGTCCCTTGAAGTGACCTGCGGTACCTTCTAGTTACCCCCCAAACATGAGATCCCCTAAACCCTAGACCGTAAACTAAACCCTCATCGATGGCACTCCGTCGAGGGACTCAGACTAAGCCACCCCAGGGCGTGCTGGCCTTGCGGGTATAGGGGTGAATAAGAACAAGCAATAGCTAACAAACAAGTAACGGCTGATGATAAGTAATAGCCAATAATACTAATATGCAGCTTAAAGCAACCAATAACCAACAGCAAGAGAACACATGAGCGTACATGGCAATGGCTGCATGTCAATTACATGACATCATCTGCTGCAACTTCTATACTGCCGAAGTAGAGTCTACAGCGATCTATTGCACGAGCCCGAATGCAACTGGAACATAATGCGCTCCAGGCCAAGAATCTGACCGTACAGCCCGACATGTGCTACTTGGAGGTTCATGGGACTTAGTCAGAGTACGCTAATTGAGTATAGTAGTAATTGTAAGTATAGTTACCTTATTTATAACCCTAGTTACTAAAAGTCCCATGCACCTTTGAGTACAATAGACCGAACTGCGAAAGGCACTGAGTTACACGCTTCGCACGGACTCCCGGGCTCTATCGAATCCCGAGATCCTGACCTTCAAATCCACATCCCCCAACCCTGGACACTCAACACCCATGTAGACCTCGCTTAATTTATACGACAACCCCTTCTTAAAGCGCCTAAATCCTAAGCCCTTCCTTCTAAAAGGCCTAAAGCCCTGAACCCCAAAAGGCTTAAAAGGTTTCAAGGCCTGCTCCAGGATTCACAGTTCAGGGTTTCGGGTTTAGGGTTTAGGGTTTCGGGTTTAGGGTTTAGGGTTTAGGGTTGCGGTTAGGGCTGGATAGTCGGGTATTTGGGGGTAGGGTTTAGGGTTTTGGGTTTAGGGATTCACGTTTGCTGGGCATTTGAGGTTTTAGGATTAGGCTTGGACAAGCGGTTTACGGTTGCGGTGCAGGGTTTGGGGTTTAAGCACTTTCGCGTAGACCCTGATTAACAAAACACTCCTACCTTCATCGGGAAGAAAAACTAGATTCGGGTATTCCTTTCCTTAACAAGGATTGTGCTCATGTTCAGACCCTCTTCAGGGCACGATGCCACATGCCCGCAGGGCTTAAATTCGGTTGCGAGCTTTAGAATGCATAGAATGCAGTGTTTGCGGGTCTTACGCTGTAAACCTTTTAGGCTTAGGATTTATTTGGGTTCGGATTGAGTGCTTCTTGCGCTTTACTTCAAGGCACACAACTCTGCATCGCGATCGCGTGTTGACTCCAGCTATAAGTAAACCACAAGCAGCTTTACTAATACTCAGGTCCTTCTGAAGCAGGCTGGGGAATTGTACGAAGACTAAACCCTCATACCCTAGTCCTAAACCCTATAACCCTTAAGCCCTCAACTGAACCCTGAAACTGCCTAAACCTAAACCCCTACACTGCTAAAACCTAAACCCTAAACCCCTAAACCCTAAACGGAAAAAAAATCCTAACCCGCCCATCCAGGCCTCCGCCTCAGCAGTTGGGCTGGCAGGCTCAACTTCAGCAGGTGCAGCACGCACCTGGGCGTGGCTTCTTGGCTCTTCAGAGCGGTAGGGTCTAAGCTCCTAATATAGGGGCCTTAATAATTAGAATAGGGTGTTGGGGGCCTTTAGACTATAAAAAATCAAGAGCCCCATAAGAAGGTATAGGTAATCATTTAGGCCGACTACAGTACATTCAACACACGAAGCAACCTGTTCAATGACGACTTGTGCTCGAAATTAGATGAGAAACTGCAAAAGACCTCAGAGCTCATTGTTTCCTACGGAGACCCAGTACGGGCCCTTTCGATAAACCGAATGATCCAGGGGCACCTCTTTGATCTGGTGTAGAGTCTGTTCTACTACCACTGGGGCTCACATGGTTTGAAGATGAGGTAGAGTTCAGTGGAGGGTTTAGGGCTCATGGTTTCATAGCGTAGTGAGGGTTTGGGGTTGAGCTAATGTCAGCAGGGTACGGACACCGCTCAAAGCCACGAATGGCGAAGCTCCAGGCAGTCAAACTAGCAACGATGTCGAGTGGTCTGTCCAAGTTCCTGAGTAACATCCGGGATGGCGAAGCATCTTCCCAGAGAGCACCATATGGGAGTTTCCGAAAATGGGGGACCCCAGTAAAGTACTCTGAATAGTAGGATCCTGATTGCAAGGACACCGAAATAAGGCACCCCTAATTTTCGGAAACTCCCATATCCCCTGATTCTTAGTGAACCAGTCTTCCTGAGAGAAAGAAGGGGCTTAGTAGAGCTCCCTGAGTCGCCCCATAAGGAAACCCCAGCGACGTCGTCACGGAGTTCTTCTGTACAAGGGGATGGACGCAATAAAAGACAAAAGCGTCAGGCTCTGCAGTGCTTGACACTGCATTTCGCAGAGAGCAACATCAGAACCTTTTTGAAAAGCCCGTCAAAACCAGCTAGTCGATGCACCGCCTTGGGTTTAGTCCCGGCTCAAACTGTGACAGAGATCTCCAGAACGTAAGGGTCAAAAGACTTGAACACCAGACTGTCAGGCTGCTCTGCGTCGAATACCTGCATAGGAGAAGGGTTCCTGGCTAAGGGGTTCGAACACCTGCGAAGTACTCCGACAAATTATGTTATTTGAACACTTAGCTCTACGGCGCCATGCAGGAAATTAACAAACTTCCCAATATGCCATGCAAGGATACTGCAATTTCTTCATGCAGTTTCTGCAATGAGGCCATGAAGCGGTCGGAGATGGCTGGGTCACAGCTATCCAGGAAGAACCGCGATAGTTCACGGGGATCTGCTTGGTAGAGCTTTGCACCGGGCCTTCGACGACCAAATTCATGTAATGTAGGGGGCCATAATAACTACGCCCTAAACTGCCCTAAACCACAAACAAAGACTTGAACCAACCCTAGAACGGCCTCGACGTTAGTGCCCTCGCGAAGAGAAGCGACAACCGAGACGGCAGGGAGGGCAACAAACTCTCCACATTCCTGAGCTGGACTTGAACACATCGTCTAATACCTAGTCTAGAAACATTTAGCCATCTTACCCAAATTTGAGGTCGATCCTCCACAATGACATTTCGCTGTTTAACGATCCTGGGCTAAGATTGGAATTACACGCGCTGTTCATTTGAAATATGCCCAAACGCCGGAGGGGCATGTTCTATGAATCGCAGCCTGGATTCTCCAGACTCCCTTCAACCACATGAGTGTGGAACATGTCGTACTGTCGCAGGAGATCACCCACATGGCCAGTGTGCTCATGCACAGCAGTCACCTCCCAAATATGCGAGGCTAAGAATGTGACAAGCTCTTCTCGTGCAGAGACACGGCCCGAAGGAGCGTGTTCACCTCAACTTTCGAGCCATGAGTGTTGGTTTGGGGTTTCTGGCTTTGGGTTTTGGGCTTAATTTCTTTTTTGCACAGTTAAAGGCAGAGGCAACTGGTGATACCATGGGAAACTCGGAGAAATATGCCAACTCAGAGCGTAGCGACAGATCTCCGGCAAAAGGCGGCTGTATTGATCAAAGAACCATCGCAGTCCGGCGTCTGCAGTGACACTTGCATCAGTCGGCCAGTAGTGGTCTATGTACTCCCTTGCAAAAGTCTCAAAAATCGAATACAACTTAAGACCCCAGTATCCATACGGGTACTCTTCTTTTCCGAGGTCGCTCACCCCTCTTCGCTGCAGGTTGCTTGCCAGGCTTTCGACTCGGAACTGGCGGCAGGCTGACCTGAATAACTCCTGAGTGGACCACCTCAGTTGCTGTTTAGGGTTTAATAGGGCTTAATAGGGTTTAATAGGGTTTAGGGTTTCGGGTTTAGGGTTTAAGACTTAACCAGAGGCCCATGTATACTACGATTATGGAACTGGGTCCCAAAAGACCATCCTTGTTGTGGTCTTGGGGCACCTAATTCCAGAATGGTAGTACATATGGATCCTCTGTGTTAGCAGACCCGCACGAATACATTCTTATGAAGAGGTACCTGGGGAAAGTTTCCAAATCTCCGCGCAGCTACTGAGTAAAGGGGCCCAGCCGATCGAAGATTGCTCCCGGACCGGATATGATGCTCTTGGCTCCCCAGTTGACATGCAGAGTCATCACTGTGAAGGGCGTCAGAACCCTTCGCCATGGATGGTCAGGATCCATCTCGCGCACAACAGTTGCAGTGAAGCCACCACGAAGGTAGTGGCATGAGATGGTGTGCGGGTAGAAGATCCTTAGGGGCCGACTACCCTAGCCTTGCCGCAAAAAAGGTTAACCATTTCAATGATGGTAGGATCACATAAACCCCAAAAGGTTAAAGGTTATCTACTCAGCTACTAAGGATCAGATCCTAGTTCATGGTTGGGAGAGTGTTAAGAATGTTAATTCTTAGTATTTCTTTATCCTTAATGCGCAATAGTACCCCCAAAAAACGTAAAATGTTGCCCAGCTATGAGAAAGGAAGATCCGAGCCGCACCACTCCAAACCCCTACACATTAAACCCTGTAAACCCCACCCCTAAACCCTAAACCAGTAAACCCTCAACCACTAAACCTAAACTTCCTAAACCCCTAAGCCCCTGAACCCCGAAACCCTAAACCCCTAAACCCCAAACCATTCAACGCTAAACCACTAAACCTAACCTTCCTAAACCCCTAAACCCCTGAACCCCGAAACCCTAAACCATTCAACCCTAAACCACTAAACCTAAACTTCCTAAACCCCTGAACCCAGAAACCCTAAACCCCCTTAACCCAAGGATCAGAGCCGCACCACAAGTACACCGGAAAATGTGCAAAGCACCAGCCCACTCGGGATCGGTTGGAAGGTAGGTCTTCCCGAAAAGGTCGAGTCCTTCTACTAGGGGGGCCTTAATAGTTGGAGTAGGGTTCCCTTAAAGGGTTCCTTTGAAGGGGGTCTATAAGGGCTACTACGAGGGTTCTATGGTATAGGGGCCTTCATAACTAGAATATCGGTTTGGGGTACGTTATCCTGCTATGACAATGAGGAACCCACAATCGTCTAGGTAGTCAAGTCCTTCTACATGGTCGAGAGACGAAGACAGTCGCATGCATCCACCCATCCTCATGTAGCCCTCTCTCACAGGCATAGCTTCTATGGAACTGTAATCCACCACATATGAGGAGCCTCTTCTTTCCAAGGCAGATGCTCCCAAACCTTCAACGCACAAGCGAATTGCCCCCAGTTCTGAATGCCTTTCTGCGGACAGATCTACACGGGCACCAAATTGAGCTCCGAATCGCTCTATCGTCGTTTCACATATCTCATCGAACTCAACTCTGTCACATCTGACAAGTTTCTCAGGTTCGAGAGTGTTCGGGTAGTATAACAAAGCCATGCGTGAAAGCACCTGTGCTCCCAGCCATAGGATCCAAGACGGCATCCAGTAATCGTAGTCTCCTTCACCCATGATGAAGTCGCTGCCAAGCACGTCGCTCATGAAAGAGTTCCTGACCCTTTGATGGCTTCCCTGTAGGCGTTTGGATGGGACTGAGCACTCCTGCAACCTAAGGGTCTGATGCAAGTTTCCCATCCCGAACAGTAGAGCAATGTTTGCGGTCCATGGTTCCATTCCCAGCCAGCACATGCGCAGGAGAATCTTGGCACCCACCCATCGATCGTAATAGATGTTGGAAAAGAGCGCCAGAGGTGCATAGAGAAAGATCTGAAGAACGGAAACCAAGATTGCCAGCCATGCTTGTGGAACACATCCGCATTGAAGGCCCTCGTTTGGCGTGCAGCCAGTAAACTCCCCAAAGACTTTCGTTTCGTCTAGCAGCTGCTGCCTTTCAATGTCAGTGGTCACCGCAAGCTTGCGAGGCAACATGGCCTAGCGGCTCCATACACACACCGGAGCAGTCCTTTATCTATGGGTTTCCCACATTGGATTTGTTTTGCGACTGTCCTTACAGAGAGCATATTGGTCTAATTACGTTGGGGGCCCCTTGTTCTGAGCTTCTCATGTCAGCCCAGCCTGTGCTCCACGGAAAGAACTCTTAAAGGGTCATGGGACTTAGTAACCAGGGATATATTTCAGGTAACTATACGTATATTTACTTATAACCCCAATTAATGTACTTGTAACTCTATTTACTAAGCCCCATGATCCTCCAAGCTTGCTGTTCATGCTCACTCATTTAGCTCTGAAGCTGGAACCGGTTGCGGCATACATGTCCAGAGGATGCTTCGGTTGATGATATATATATATATATATATATATCCTGCATTACCTTCAGGACCCGAAACTATGGGAATGATGGTATATTCCTTCTTGTGGGTAATGCAGGATTGATATCATCAACCGCTGCAGGCATATATGCAGTTTAGGGCAGTGACAACAGGAGGTCGCGCACATGAGTTGTCAATCTGCTGTGTTAGCATGCAAGTGGAGGGAGATGCCCTGAAATCTCAACCACCCAGAAAGCCCAACCTTCACCGAACAGCCTGCTAAGAGCAGCCTAAAGCCGAATCTCTTTCCTCTTAACTTCTAAACCCCATCTCGATTACCACCCAACAATCCTTCAGCCGTAAACTCCTCAACCCTTCACCACTTGCAACCAGAGCCCATAAACCCTTAAGCATCTAAACGGTGAGACCCAATACCCAAGATTTGGTTGAGGATTTCTAATTTGGCTCTGAATTCTCGCATCCGTTGTATAGAGACCGCATTACCACGGCTGATTAGTGATAGTATCTCTTTGTATACATAGCCCAGCAATGCCACTGGCTGTTGTCGACTACCCTACTAACAAACCGTAAAGGAACCCTCATAGGATCTCTTGCACGAATCCTAAAACACTAAATCCTATACCCAAAATCCCTGAACCCCGAAACCCTAAACCCGAAAACCCATAAGCCCGAAAACCCTAAACCCCGAAACCCTAAACCCTAAAACCCATAAGCCCTGAACCAGAAATCCCTAAAACCCATAAGCCCTGAACCAGAAATCCCTAAAACCCATAAGCCCTGAACCAGAAAGACAACAAAAAAACAGAGCCACAGGCCTCCAGGCGGCAACCTGACAGCGATGTTGCGATATTTTACCGCTAGGGCCCTGACTGACTATGACTATACTGGGCTTGTAAATAAAAGGATTCCTTAAAGGAATCTACATAAGGAGGGTTGCGTAAAGGGATCTATAATACAAGGAGGGTTCCTTAAAGGGATCTATAATGTAAGGGTTCTATAAAGGGCTTAGGGTTTAGAGTTTACGAAAATTAGGGGCGCCTTCTGTTGGGGTCCTAATTCTAAGGATCCTTCTATTTATAGGGTGCTAGATTAGGGTCCCCTAATTTCGGAAACTCCCATATGTGTACATACATAAACGCATGCATACATACATGCATGCATGCATGCATGCATGCATACAGTACCAGTACCGCCCGCATGAACCCCATGTCTGTCGTGTCTTTTAGCTCCACTTCCACATGCGTGGCAAAAGGCCACAAGGGACTGTGCATACGCTCCAAAATCTGGCCCGACCAGCTTTTGCCAAGTTTTCAGTCTTGGAGGATTTCGTGGATGTCGCTGGCATGGAGGACTTCTTGCTCAGATTTAGGAGGGCCAAGTTGGTGGCACTGGTATCACTTGGCTTGGGGTTACAAGGTTCTGAGAGATATTCGTCATCTACCTCCACCCACCAGAACCTACTTCTTTGTAGTGTCCCTGTAAATTCCATATTGTGTCCTAAATAAGAACCTACAAAAAAAGTCTACGTAGGTTTTGGTGGGTTAAGGGAGGCTTCGGGTTTGTATGCCATGATGCATTTTTGGGGGGCTTTGGGTTTGTCGGGATAGCGCCTGCAGGGTTGGAGGTTCATGCGGATTTGGGACTTTACTAAAAATAGGGGTTTCTTTAAAGGGATCCTTCAAGGGTTCCTTAAAGGGATAAAGGGTTTAGGTTTAGAGTTTACGAAACTTAGGTGTACCTTATTTTGGATCCGTATGACTGATAAGGATCCTTCTATTTCGGGTACTATATTCGGGTTCCCCATCTTCGGAAACTCCCATTTGGTGTCCATAGGGGTTCGGGTTTACAGCGGTTGGGCGTTCATTTTGCCGGGGGATTGATAGGCTGCGGATCTAGCATGTCGACACAATGTAGGGATTGCATCAGTCCCCGGGACGAAAGCATCTCATTACGTGAGCAATGAAAGCTACAGATTCAGACCTCAACTGTAAACATCCGAAAAGGGCAATCCCTCACGATCCGTTCATCGCAGTGCCCGGGTCTGGCACCCCATGTGCATACCCCTCGAAAACCTAACGCCCCAAGCCCAAACCCCAAGACCCTAAACTCCAAAGCCGTTTAAGGGCTTTCGGTAGGCTGCCCTTAGTTGCTGAGTTTTTAAGCCCCCTTAAAGTGCACACTTTTAGTTTTATAGTGGGGAATATTATCACTAGAAGTGTAAAGTAATACTAAACCCTAAACCCTAATCCCCAAAGAGAAGTGTAGCTTTACAGTGGCTATTATCCCCGAAAAGTTTAAAGTGTATCCATTCAGCCACTAAGTTGCCTCCAACCGACGGTCGGCTACTGCCAACTGCGAAGAGCCGAGGCCCCGTGGTGCGAAGGATACAAACGCCCAGCCTAGGGATTTCGGTTTAGGGTTTAGGGCTTCGGTTTAGGGTTTAGGGTATAGGGGTTCAGTGGTTTCGGGTAAAGTTTAGGGTTCAGGGTTAGGGTGTAAAGTTTGATGCTTTTGTGTGGTTATGGTTCTGGGCTTCTCTTTTTGGCTGCTGGGTTTTGGGGTTTGGGGAGTCTTGAGTTTCAGTGGTGTTCTGGGTTTTGGGGTTTATACAAGTTTAGTAGGGTTTAGGGCTTTAAGATTTTAGTTGTTGTTGAGTTTTAGTTTCAGGGTTTCGAATTAAGGGTTCACCTAGACATCCCAGGTAACTAAACCCTTTGTTGGTTCCGCGAAGGGGTGGGGTTTAGGGTTTGGGTGACAGGCATCTAGTGCAGAGCAGTGCATTCTTTCCGAATTCAGGGGCGTCGTATACATAAGGCTCTCATAACCTTTACAACGCTGAAGGTCTTATCTAGGATCTTGGTCTAGGGGCTTACACTTAGATGATAACTTTTACATCGACCCGATTCAAGCTTTACGGGACAAATCTCCAGATGTTCCGAGCATAAAGCCCTGCCCGACCTTTATAAGCCAAAAGACCTACCTTCTCGAGGACATGTATTCAAGTATTCATACCAAAATCCGACCCCCCCCCCCCCCCCGATTCCCTTGCATAAATGCTCAGCGCTTAAAAAAAAGATGAGATCACATCCACCGAGGCTTCGGTAGACGGAGTACGGTAGGGGCCTTAATTAATAGTCAAAGCAGGGACGTGGGGAATATTTCGCTATACTTATAATAAGGAACCCCCAGAATGGTATAGGTAATTACTATGTCTCCTATAGTATCTACGCATCCTTTCAACTCTTCAATCCGGAAACCATACTAAGGAAGTCTAATTTACAAAACGCCCAGGCAGAGAACCCGACTCAAGTAATACAGGGCCCTTAATGTGTAATTAGACTGGCCTTTATTTGGGGTTTGTGTGTTTCATAAGAAAAATGAAGAACTCTAAGATATACTATTCCAACTATGAGGTTTTAAGGCCGCACTCAAGCCCTCCGAGGCCAAGGACACCAGAAGGAAGGGACTGAGCTTGCCCGGATGCGTGCTTCCCTCCGGTTTGAGCGAGCTTGGGTTTAGTGTCCTGTGCTTCTTTTCGGGGGTCTGGTTTGGAGGGCGAGGGCTTCAAGAGTTTTCGGCATTTTGTGGTAGGATAGGCCTCGAGTGAAGGGTGTTCCACATGTTTCTCTGCCTTTTGCATTTAAAGGGAGCTCCAGAAAGTTGGAATATGGATTAATGGTAGGATCCCCTATAATTTACCGTAAAGGGGTTACGATAATGATATTCCAACTTTCTGGAGTTCCCTGTAGTGCCTGCCTTCGGGTTGAAGCGGCCCAGTTGTGGCTTTGGGGAGATCGAGCTCGATGCTGATGATAAACTGATAAGTAAGGGAAATATACTTGTAAATGCTTATAACCCCAGTTAAGGTACTTGTTACCCTACTTACTACGGTTGATGATAAAACTCCTGTATTACCTTAATGACCCTAGATTATGGGAATTGTAGCACATTCCTTTTTATGCGTAGTGCTGGATTTATATCATCAGGGGGCTTTAGTGGTTTAGGGCTCTGGGGGATTGAGGGTTTGTGGATTTTGGGGTTTTAGGGCTTAGGCCTTGGATTTAGGGATGTTTAGGGTGTGGGGCTTAGGGATTGAGGGGTCAAGGTTTAAGGCCTCGAGGTCTAGAATCAACGGCTCCGGGTAAACTGCAAATCCAAATGAGGGTTTAGGGTTTAGGGGTTTAGGGTTTAGGGATTTGGGAGACCGAAAGACCCTGACTCTGTTTCACTTCAGTTCCATGTCTTTCAACATCATCCACTGGCCCTGACCTGCACGTTCTATTGTGGGGACCGGCCCTTAAACCAATGAATATCGAAAAAACAGATATTGCGATAGGTCTTGGTGGATACAACATGTTACAGTATAGTTACAGAGGGGCGTTAAGGGGATGTTGTGGCTTGTAGATAAACTAGCCACGACGACTCTTTAGGAAATCTCTGCACAAACTAGGAACCCTGAGGCGCGCCCGCGCCGCTAGGCGCCGAAGGCGCCCCATGCTGGCGCGAGCGCTGCACCTTACACCGGAGCTGTTTTGATGGCTTGGGTTCAGGGTGGCTTTGGGTTCAGCCGTCAAAATAGCAGAGGTCTAAACAACGGCACTACTTGCTCCTGCAGTCCAGGAGCTGCCAGGTGTGATG